GCAATGACTAACTCATGTATAGGCATTTAAAACAACATACCTGGCCGCGTACACAATTCCGGAAAATCCTTGTTCTTAAACATGAAAACAATAAACAAAAACTAAAAATTCTTGAAGCTATATACATAAAACAGTTGTAACCTCACCTGAACAAAATAAACTACAAAATCTCCACAAATATTCTTAAATACCTATAATTGATAACAGAAGCCATTGGTTTATACCAATGGCTTCCCATACTTAATACTTCTCATTTTCACTCTCGTGTGGTCATGTCTGACGTCATGAGCTGCGACGTGATTTTCGCTTCCATGTCTCATATACACAGCATGTCCCAAAATAATATACAATAATTGTTATTAGTCATTATTATTATTAGTTAGTGATAATTTTCTGGGCATAAAATATTTAAATATCAGATTGGGAATAATTTTGTTTTTTGTGATTATCTTGGCAGAATTGCTAAAAAAAACTTTTCTTGCTGACAAAATCTTTGAAATTGTCCATTTTGTCCCAAATTATCAATTTCAAGGAAGAGAATCAAGAATTTAAAAGAAATATGCCAATCAACAACTCCTTACAGCTTGCATTGCAGACATCCTGAACGATTCATAAAAAAAATAAACTTGATATCCCTTTTAATTTTCTTGTATAAAGTTGAAATTATCAGCATTACTCACTCTATGATACAATGATTATTGCTAAATCCTTTTAAAATATCATAAATCTGATGTCATTTAATACCTATGAGCATAATACCCATAAAAATGTCATAATTATGCATAGATTGGTACTTCTAATTAGAATCATATGAAAGGATCACACCCTGGCTCCATGGTATTACCAACATCCTTCAAGTCAGCTACCCATCTGTAAGGAAATTGTCCAGCATTCTCTGCCATATAGGACGATTGATATTACAAAGTATTTCAGCATGATTTTCATTGTTTCTGTTGCTTCAAATCTCCTTTTCACCTGTGTGGAAATTGTCCAACATTCTTTACTACATAGGACAATTGTTATTACAAAGCATTTCAGTACACTTGTTTGTTTCTAACAAAATTTTATTGTTTCTTAATACTTTTTTCAGTATCTGGAAGACATCTTTTACTATTGCAATGTGTCTTCAGATTTTATCATCATCTGTTAAAACACTTCCCAGGTATTTATACTTGTCAAGTTTGATTTTGACATCTCCAATTTGTAGTTCACATTTTGGTCTTTCTCATTTGTTGACAACTGTACATTCTGCTTCCTTACAATTGATGGTTAGTCCTTTCTTCTCTCTTTCTTTTACTTCCCTGTCTAGGAGTTTCTGCAGTTTTATTTCTATGTGTCTGGTTGTTTTTACATGATGTAAATATAGTTTGTTTTTTTGTTTTGTTTTTTTTTTATTGAGCTACTACTGAAAAAAATTAACTTCATCTCTGATGTGTTATGAAGTTGTGGCGAATGAAGAAAATAGTAACCAGCGAGTAAATTCAAGCTCTCCCAACTGGTATTTCAAATTTGAGTCGTTCCTTCTTGGGTTGTCTCCAAAACACACTAACTGCCCGTTCTTGCCGTCAACCATGAACGTCTCTCAAATAACTCCCTGACTTGGAAAAAAGTAGTTCTTTTTATAATTGTTCATATACCCATAATCCCTTGTGTCTTCACGTGATCCCATAATTCATTGCGTCCGTCCCCCATAATGCATTGCATCGTTATTGCATAAAAAATGCGATGCCAGTCCCCCCTCATTCTTTTAAGTTATCTGGCCGAGGATGGATTACGGCAGAGCGGTAAGTGCTTTTTTTCTCTCCCTCATTTCAACTGCAGTAGCTTTACATGCTAAGCAAATACGGGCTCTTTTTTGGCGGGGACAAGGCAAGTCGCGACCAGTTGTGCTGGTCTCAGGTTCTGTCTCATGTCCGCCACAGAAGTAGAGGAAAAGTTGCAAGGTATTAACCTGTTCTTCTGTTGGGCACTTCATGGTGTAATGGTTAGTAAGCTTGTCTTGCTAGATCATTTATGACTGAGTAGTGGGTTCAATCCTCACTGGGTGCCCCCATAATTTTAGCCTTGTTCCATATCTAAGCTACGCTTAGGAAACCACTAAATTTGCCCTTCTGTGTTATATTTTTATGATTTTGTCTTTGTGTCATATCATGGATAATACGATATAAGCAACCAGGTAATCCCGAGTGGAAAGATTACGCTAAATACAGGAATAAGGTAAAACAAATAACAAGGTTTTATTGTACAGAAAGTACGAGTAAGAGTTTGTAATAACAAGGAAAACGGGAGATACGTCACGGAGGTTTGTACTGTGTCTCAACTGCCACTACAATAGTTTGTCATGTCTTTTATTATCTCCCAATCACTGGGGGTGTGTTAGGTTGTTCCACTATAACACTTTGAAAACTGATATAATGGACTAACCAGTCACCCCCATGAATGATTAAACTATAGGTAGTAAGTACCTATGCATATCAACAGTCTACGATAGACTTTGGGAAGAGTGAAAGAGAGAAGACACAAGCACGTCCGACCTTCAAATTAGTGGCACTCACTACTAGATTGACCTGTGTGTATAACTGTACCGTATTTCATAATGTACTGGTTGTGTACAATAAACCTTTCTTCTATTATCCATCTGGTGTTAAGTATTTATTTTCTTAGCACAAAATATAACAGGTTTCCTCTGTTAAACCTGTTCTTCCATCTATGCACAAAAAACTTCCATCTCACCAAAATAGTTCCTTGATTTATTTAGTTGCAGTATGCACTACATAGGAAGAACGAATCAAAAGGCTGGATTCAAGGATTAAACAACATGTGCCTACAAAAATCCGAAACTAAATTATTTACTATCTGATGTTCTGACCAATAAATACAGGTCTTCCATTGCAGAGCACTTCATAAATAACCGCAATTGTGCTGCTAATTTTAGTGTGGATCCTTTTCCCATCCTGAGTAGGTTCCATCCAAATTACCTACTTAAGATATTGGAGGCCATATATATATATATATATATATATATATATATATATATATTATCCATGAAACCTTCACTCTCTAAACAGAAGGATTTTCTCCTTGACCTCCAATTGATTTCCATCTAATATTTTCCTTTTTTTCTTTCCTTTATATTCCATTCCTTTTATTAATATATACATATTTATTCCCTTAGCATGGAATATAACAGGAACAAAATTGTTCCAATGTTTAGGAAGGTCTACTCTAAGAATTATTGATTCCATTGCCTTTATCTTTTACTTCAATACTACCTTTATGATAATTTGTCACTTGTTTGAAGCCTGCTTCTTCAGTGATACACTGTTAAAATTGATTTTTTGTCCAAAAATTTCTAAGTTTTTATGAACTTTGAATAGTCATGACATGTTTGTTAATTTTTTTATGGTTTGTCAAGATCTCTATGCCTGTATATATATACAAAGACCTTCCATCTCACCAAAATAGTTCCTTGATTCATTTAGTTGCAGTATGCACTACATAGGAAGAATGAATCAAAATGGTTTTTACATATATTGAAAATAAAATTATTCTTTGGACTACATAGTATAATAATTCCTGATCTCAGAAATAGCAGAAATGTGGCAACTAAAAAATATGGTGGAGATATATAAGCACACACACCAGCATTAAGAGAGCAGTTTTTCCCAGACATAACAGGCAAGAATGTAAGGTCTATTTGTCAGATCAGGGGTTGAGGGTTGCTCATATACGCTGGCCAGTGCTAATTGACAAAGTCAGGTGTTGAATGAAAAAAACAAAAAAGAGTTACCATATTTGCTGGCCTATTGGATGTGGATTTTTACCCTGCATCCAATACAGCAGTATCTTGTGTAAGAGGGACCTGAAGACCATGAAAAAGTGGGGGTTCATCAGGCGTTGGTGTATGCATAAAGCTTAGCTCAGAGACTAGGATTCCTGGAAGTGAACAAAGATTAATAAAAATATCCCTGTAAAAATTCACCCAGGAAAAAGAAATTAAGAATTGTGCAATATTTTGCTGTTTGTTTTGTAGAAATACCAGATTTGACAAAAATATTTGCTTTGACTGGTATATTGCTGCTTGCTTTGTGTGTGTTTTTGTTGATATACAGGTATCGGAATTTGCTTTTCTGCATGTCTGGTATGAGACTTCATTTACCAACAAATAGCATATTTCTGTTTTTTTGTTTGCCTATTACAATATATACCAGTTTTCACTGATACCAATCAATTTCTTTGTAGCTCTTATGAATTTACTGTATGTGAAGATGTTGCTCCTTGAAAAACAACTAAAACAATTTTTGATAAATGCATGATGAAATGTACTAAAATTCTGCTTTTCAAAAAAAAATGTCCTCGTAAATAAAACCTTACCCCACATCTATTAAAAAAAGGACCAGTTGTATAATTTGTGCTGAAACTGTAAGTGTTTCTTCATGGTTAGTGAGAAGGTCACATAATGGTAAGGTTATAATCTTGATTTTTTTTTTTTTTTTTTTTTGGTCGTGATGTGTGCATTTTTTTTTCCTAAATATTCTATACCAAAATCTCGGTGCATCCAATAAGGCTGGCAAATATGGTCATTCTACTGTTGTCATTTGGTGATTACAATACCTTTTATAGGAATGAAAAATTTTTATTGGCACAGTGGATAAAGGCATTAGTTAGATCCAGTGACAGGATCCAAAGAGTGTGAGGTCAATACCCAGTTAAGGCAGTGGAGAACTTGGAGAGGGGGAATTAACAGGAGATAACTGACAACTGACATCCATTAAACATGGAACTAGAACAATCTACCCCAGTGAGCGAAATAAAAGGTTCAGTTTGACATTCCAACCACCTGAAGAAGGCTGGAGCCTACAACGGCCGAAACGTTGTAATACATATGGCGACAAAGATGAGGACAATAGTCCAAATAATGTAAATAGTGTTGAAAAAAAAATTCTTAACTGGAAGTTCAAAATCCATTCTAAATATTTCTTTTTCTTTTTTCTTTACAGACATTCACAATGAATGGCGAGATCAGCAACAAGCAACTACGAAAAGTGACTGGTGAGCTTAGCCTCCTGTCTCGATCAGATGGATCTGCTAGTCTTTGCAGTGGGGACACGAGCATGATTGCCTCGGTGTATGGTCCTGCTGAGGTCAAAATTGCCAAAGAACAAATAAGCAGAGCGACAGTTGAGGTTACGTACAGGCCCAAATCTGGCATGCCGGGTTGCAATGAAAAACTCAAAGAAAATATCATCTGTAACACCTGTGAATCTGTCATCCTTACCTGTCTTCATCCACGCTCGTCTGTCAGTTTAACCATTCAGGAACTTCATCATGCAGGATCACAGCTGGCCTGCGCTTTAAATGTGGCCAATTTAGCCTTACTCGATGCAAATGTAAACATGAAGTTTATGGTAGCCGCTGTAAATTGTGCTTTCACAGACAAGGGTCAGTTGATTCTTGACCCGACTCTAAAAGAAGAACAAGCAGCACGAGTAACAATGACGTTTGCCTTTGACAGTGTCTCCAAAGATATTTTAACTGTATACACAACAGGACTGTACACTGAGGAAGAATTTGACACAGCACTTAAAGCTTGCAAGGCAGCATCTGTAGAAATTTTTAACTTTTATAAGGAAATCATGCAGAAGAATCTATCAAAAGAATAAATTGAAAGGAACAATTTTTAGAAGCGTAAACCAATAAAAATTGTTTTTCTTATTTTCTTAATTTGCAATCTGCTTTTATTTAAACATTGTATAATTTCTTCTTGTTCCTTCATTCACATTCACTTAGGAAAGGTATGAATCCATCTCTTCTTGCCCCCGCTATGGGTTAAATCAGGCAAACTTTTCCAAGTTGCTAGCCACATCAAACATAGCTCATCATAAGGCAGGCAGCACTACTAAAAAGATTTAAGGTAATTTTTCATTTAAGCTGCCTCAGCCATTTTCATTAGAGAAGACCAGAACAAATAGAAATGAGCAAAATAAAGGGTTCAGTTCGACATTCCAACCACCTGAAGAAGGCCGGAGCATACAAGAGCCAAAACGTTGTGATAAATATGACAACAAAGATGAGGACAATAGTCCGAATAATGTAAATAGTATTGTACCCACTTGTTCACTTGCACTTTCTCATACATAAACAATGGTTATGTTTCTTGAATTTTGTTGATAACATTTTCAGCATTTTAAACCATTAGCAATTTTTACTAAGGAAGATCATACATGTAAACATCTATTGCTTTTGAAGCAGAAAACTTTCATAATATTTTTTCTTTGGAGAAGAAATATATTTTTTATTTAAAAAATATTTTTTGTATAGCTAAATTAGATCAGCTCTCCAACCTTCATTAGGTGCTTATAACTGAACCCTTTTTTTTTTTTAACCTATTAACACACACACACACACAGTACCACTTGTTGCATTTACACTGTTTCTGTTGCCAAAGTTTCATTAAAAAAAAATCTGTCGAAGTGTCAAAGACAGCTAGTCATATTGCCTGGTGTCCTTTGAAAATTAATGTGTATGACCATTAGATTTCAAAAATGCTGGCAAATTGACATCATAGAGATCGTTTGTCCATTCGAGATCTGACACATGTGTCAACATCATTATTGTTATCGGAATCCATCAGTTCATCACTATTAATATCAGAGATCTTGATATCCAATTCATCTTGTATTTCTTTTTCATTTTTTTCCTCAGATTCTTGAATAACCTGGGTTGTATCTTCCTCAACTGAATGCTCTTGACTCATTAGACTCCATTTGCTTGATGTTTGATTTCTCATCGTCAAAAAAAGATTGAAATAAAAGATTGTAAGACTTGAATTTATTTTTAGCTAATCAAACAAATAAGAGATGATTGAAGTAGCATGTCGTCAAAGTCTCACTGTTTGCATGATTTCTTGCATTATTTGCAATGATGACATGATATATTATGGCAGAATGTACATGGAGACGTTTACAGTGGGTTGAACTCTGAGAACTGATATTTCCAAGGAAGGTTGAATGCTAAAAGGTTAATCTACAGGAGTAGATTTTTCACATTCCGCTGCCTGTGTCTGGGGATATCTCGTCTAGTTCTTAATACTACTTGGTTATTGCTCCCCCACATTTTTAATGGGTCCCCCCTACGTATTGCCTGGCACTGATGTTAGTTGTGGCCATTTAGCATCTAATCAAAAGATAACAATATAACTAAAGCCATTCAAAGTGAGTTGTTAACTCTGTAAAGGCAATAGTCCTCGTTCTGCTATGTCTAGGGATATCTCGTCTTTTTCTTATTTAATACTCCCTAGTTATTACTTGCCCTTAGACAATATCCTAGTGGGTTAAAGCATTAATTAAATTTAGGTACCTCCACTAATTCACTGAAAAAAGAGCATACTATGATGGTATTTTTTCATTATAGTAGATTCTTTTTTTCAGCGAATTAGTGGAGGTACCTAAATTTAATTAACGCTTTAACCTTGATAAAACTAAGTTTTATCATCAAAATCTTTGTTATTATTAAAAGGAAAGAACAAATTTTTTAATATTTAATTATGTTTTTTAATCCTTTTTTAGAACATTTGAAATTTTGGTTAAAAATCTTGTTTTTCTTGTGTCAGCAGATGGACTATAAATTAGCATAGCAAATTTTAGCGCCTTTTTTGCATTGAAAAATACATCGATTTTGAAATTTTTGCAATAACAAAAAATTGTCGGATTTTAATGAAACTTTCAGGATTTATTCACAGATGAATGAAATTATTTTAGAAATATTTTTTTCTTAAAAAATCATGGTAAAAATATTTTGTTTTTTAATTTTATGAAAACTCAAGAAATTCAACAGGATAATTTTTAATAACTATATTAGTTAAAAGCAAAACTAGGAAAATTTAAATCATCAATTTCTTTTTGCAAAATCAGACACTGTCTTACGGAAAATCTGCTCTGAATCATAAAATAAAAAAAATACAATAAAACTAAGACAATTAGAAAAGCTTTTAATTGCTTTTATGAATAAAATAAATTATGGAAACTATTGTTTTAAGAAGAAAAAAATTTTCAATTAATGAATTTTTACAAGATTTGTTTTCCTTTTTTTATATAGAATAATAAAGTTTTTAAATTATTTTAAAATTCAGTTTCAGTGGTGTAATGGTTAGGGAATATTGTTATGTAAAACTATATGTATTAATAAATCATAAACCTTATTACAATTTAAGGACCCTGTGTATTTTAAAAAGGATTTTGAATTGTTTTTTTGTATGTATATAAATGTGCCAATGTTTGTAGATACGGAAGTTCATATATGACATCAGAAAATAAGAGTGATAACTATAGAATATTTAAAGCCAAAGTATCCAAAATTAAATAAAACATTAGATTATGGAGAATATTTTCCTAAATTTTTAAGATTGCTGAGTACTTAAAAATTATATATAAAAGTCGTTTGCGTTATATTCAGATATTTTTTACAGATAAAGCCCCCCCCCAAACAACATTAGATAAACATCAATCTGTCATGAAGCTGTCAACACATCAGCAGATTAAATAAACAGCTACTGATATGTTAAAAAAAGGCATTTCTGCAATATTTTAAACTTAATGCAAATATTTGTTTCAAATCACATTAATTATACATTAAATCAAATAAAGTTTCAGTAAAGAACATTTTATTTTTTGAAGATTTTTTAGATAAAGTGAATTACATTCTGATGAGTGGTGTCTGAAAATAGCACCAAAAAAAAAAAAAAATAGAATCAGCAATTTCAAAACAAAAACTCCTTCCAATCAAATTAGTTTTGAAATACAGCAAAGTATTTCACTTACTGGAAATATTAAATTTAATTTATTAGCTTGAAATTAAAATTGAAATAAAAACTTCAAGAAAGATTTTTCATTTTTAAAAATTCATTTTAAACCTTTGATATCGCGAATCTGTGGTGGAACCTAATTACATTCAATTACATACAATTTTTTTTATTTTCATAACACTGTGACCATGAAGCTATCAGGCCTTCATCAGGCGATTGTCGATCTGAGTAGTCTTCAGGGAATTTCAAACAACCTTTTAATTAATCTATGAAGGTAAATTGTTCTTCTATCCATGTCTAGGGATGTCTTGTTCTTATTTAATACTGCTCAGTTATTGCCCATCCTGTTTCCACTGAGTCTGCACTATGTTACTATGTCAACAAATTTGTAAACTAATGCTTTAATCTGCTAGACTATTGTTCCATCGGACAATCCAGAGTCTATAACGTGGAGGCTTCAGGCAGACTCAGTTTAAGGCTTCAAAAATTTGTTATTTAATCCTTGGGCCTGGTACTCTAGACTTAAACTTAGTGAAAATGGTACACAATATAAGAAAAAATAAATAAGAACTAAAATAAGCAGATGCTACTGTCTCTCTAAAACAAAATACATTCAGTATCCGAAAAAACTCATCATAAATTTCTTCCTGAGCAACTTGCTTTTGCTTTGTTTGGATCTATTCTGGCTTTGTGTAACCTGGGGTTGGGCACACTATGGCCTGCAGGTTGCATGTGATCCATCTGATGATTATTTGTGGACCACCAGAGCACAAACAACACTCATTCAGGGTGTGATGTTAAACTACATCCAGCAGCAAGGCCTTTAGTCGGGAGGAATCAAGGACCATGGTACCACCTCTAAATTGCTGTTGTTCTTAGGTCCACCCTGACCTGGGGTGGTAGCACCTGTTAGGATCCCAGCTATGGGTAAATAGTTAATCCCTTAAACTAGGGTCAAAACACTGTAAAAGTATAAAAATAGATTTTTACAACAAAAATACCAGCAATATATTTTTGATAAAAGAAAACACATTACCAGCAATAGATTTGACTCTCGACAAAAACTCTCTTTACAAAAATATGTTAATGAAGCCTGATCTACAAATTGATTTCTTACAAAGAATACATATATTCAAATGAATCTATTCTAAAAATTTTGTCGGTATTAAATGACCCTTTGAGGTGTTGATATGCCGTAAAACAAACCTAAACCTAACAAGCAACACTATATTTTTTTAAAAGTTCATTAAAAAAGTTGTTGGTATTTTTGAGGTTACATGTTGTGCAAAATAATCTATTCCAGACAGACAAAAAGAAAAATATGTTTAATATCTATTCTATTTTCATTAATTAAAAAAAAAATAACAGTTAACAAATTTGAATCTAGTCTTGTATATATTTTGTATATATATATATATATATATATATATATATAAAACAAGATTTTATGGAAAACCCTACTACAAGAATGATTAACCCAACCTGACTCGACATTGATAAGATAAGCAAAAGAATCCTAGAAAGAATTACTTGGCAAATTAAAAACCACCTTGGATTAAAATTATGGATTAATACCAAAGATGTCATCAATTGGTTTACCAATATTAATAATAAACCTGATAGCACCCTATTACAGTTTGATATTGCGGATTCCTCCCCGTCAATATCGAAGGATCTGTTCATGACTGCCCTGGAGTTTGCTGCTGTGAATTCTGACCTGACAAAGGAAGAAATGAATATAATTCTCAGTGCAAAAAAATCTGTCCTCATTCATAATGGGGACCAATGAATTAAAAACACTTATGACCATTTTGACATCACTATGGGATCTTTAGACTCTACAGAGTCTTCTGACCTTGTCTGTCTTTTAATACTGTACAACCTGATCGCGCACCATGAATTAGATATTAAGGACATCGGGCTGTATAGAGATGGCGGGCTCATGGTAGTGAGGAGTTCCACTAATTTTAAAATAGAGAAAATTAGAAAGATTATATATAGTGAATTTAGAAAACTAAATTTAAAAACAACAGTCTGTACAAAATTAAAAAGGGTAAACTTCCTCGACATAACTCTTGATTTAATAAACAACACATACCTACTTTATAGAAAACCTAACACTAACCCCTTATATGTACACCCTAAGTCAAACCACCATAATTAAGCATATACCCTCCTCAATCGAGAAAGGAATCAGCATTAACTCTACTAATAAAGAAATATTCCAACAACACAGTAATTTTTATAATGCAGCCTTAAAAAATAGTGCATACAAAAATGCTAACATCAATTATAGAAACAATTGTACTAACCAGAAGAAAAACAGGAAAAGAAAGATCATTTGGTATACCCCTCTGTTCAACCAAATGGTTAGTATTAAGCTAGGACATAAATTCCTAGCTTTAATTGAAAAACAATTTCCTACAAATAGCAGACTTAGTAAAATCTTTAATAAAAACACCCTAAAATTAAGTTACAGTTGCACTGAAAATCTAGAAAGTATAATAAAAAAAACAATAATAAAATCCTGAATAAACCCCCATGCCAGAATAGTATTAATAAAAACCCTACACTTAAATTAGACAAAAATAGTGAAACATTATGGGATTGTAGAAACCCAGAAGACTGCCCATTGGAAAATATATGCCGCGTAAAATCTGTGGTATACCAATGTACTATCTCATCCAGTGAGAGTCCTAACATTAGTATGATATACATTGGGTCTATGAAGAATGAATTTAAAACCAGGTGGAGGCAGCATAAGTGCTCCTTCAACAACATTAATAAAAGAAATCAGACATCTCTATCTAAATATTTTTGGCATTTGAAGGAAATGAATAAAACACCAAAAGTAAAATGGAAACTTATAAACAAAAGTAGAACTTGTAAAACTTGGGATGACCCATGCCCTTTGCACATTATCAAGTTTCTAAATAATGAAAATTTATTAAACAATAGACATGAGTTAACAGTTTTTTGCCAACATCATCAAATTTTCTCATTGAATAATTAGCAGAAAAAACAAACAAACAAACAATAAAATTATAAATATAAATTTTACACTCCATAGTCTAAATAAAAAGTTTAAAAGCCCTACCCAATAAAAAAAAAACCTTTATGCAGTTGTCAAAAAAACAAATGTTAGTGAATTATGACAATTTTTTATATACACAAAACCCTTTCAGGAAAAAATAAAATAAAATAAAATAAAATAAAAAAATAAATAAATCTCCATAGACACTTAACCAGACTAGACGATGTCATCTGCTTTAAATTTAGACACCCCAACCTTACCCTGACTTGACCTCTTTGAATGTAACTGAGATATTGATACAAATTATTAACCCTTATGCCCCTTTTTTTAAATAATTGCTCTAGCCGTTACCATAGTAATTTAAATTTTAATAATGAATATGCTTATAAAAACGCGTACATTTCAAGAATTAGTTATTCCAAAAAAGATTTTGCTTGAAGATGGAACAGAGCTTGGTACTTTAATTCAATTTAATTCAAATAATTATATTGAAGTTTTCAGCTCTTGTTTTGAAACATGAGAACTCTTATGTAGTGATGGGATCATATTTTTTAAATAAATAATTATACATATATATATATATATATGTTTCTTGTATATATTAATAAATAAACACAACTCCTGATTATGAAAAACTTTCTCAATACAAGAATTCATCAGACAACATCAGAAAGTGGGGAGACATGATAATGCCAGAACTCCTGAGAGGCACCGCCAACAGATTCTTTGGGTATTATGTACCACCGATGATGATGAAACATCAGTCTATTTGAAAATTATTACATAGTTTACCATTTACACTATCTACATTCTTCAGACTGTTGTCCTCATCTTCATTGCCATATTCACAACACTTCGGCCATTGTGATATATGTTGGAATTTCAAATGGAACACGTTATTTAGTCCTTGTTCTAATTCCACATGCCATGCCTTTGGATATCTCAGTTAATTCCCTCTAAATAACTCTCCAAATTTTGTTCCTTCTGCTGTGGCCAGGTATTGAACTCACAACTCTTTGGGTCAAGTCATTTTTGGATCACTCAACCAACGTTTTTATCCACTGGAACATATGGACTAAATAAATGGTTTGGTTTGAAATTCCAGTGTATATCACCTGAAGAAGGCTGATGCAGACAATGGTCGAAATGTGAATATGGCAAAGATGAGGTCAACAGTTCAAACAACGTAAATAGTGTAAATAATTACAATACCTCATCTCAAAAATATAGACATATTTTATGTTGATGAATTATGAGTCAACCAACCAAGGTTGAATTGAAAGAAATTTTGTTTAGAATTAGTTTATCATAACTTCTATCGAACAATGTGAAATTTATAGCGCATTTCAGTTTAATTGTGGAAATTTGGGTTCCTTGTGAGTTTTCACTTTTAACCAGGAATGTTAACCTTTCATTTTTGCATTGCATTGTTAAAAGTGGTGAAAAATGGGTTTTGCATGTCAACTGAAAACAAAAAAGACTGATTATCCCAAAATGAGAAAGCAGTGCTAACATCAAAACCAAGAATCCATTTAAAGGAGTCCTTGCTTTGAGTTTAGTGGAATATTTTTTTAATTTCCCCTAAGTCCTTGCTATTCTGGTGGAATATTTTTTTAATTTCCCCTAAGATGTAAGGGGCTACTGGGAGTAAAAGAGAATGAAAAAACATTGGAAACCCCATCCTAAACAGGAAACAAGGGATAAACCTCTATTCCTGTTCAAAAGACTAGGGAAAGATTGTTCATTACAAGCAGATGGATCATAGAAGGATGACCCCTGAAGATGTTTATTGTCAGCAATTTGATCAGCTAAATGAAGCATTACATTGAAAGTACCCTGCTTTGATAAACAGAAAAAGGTGTTATTCTTCAACACAACAAGGCAAAAGCACACTATGCATAAGAGAAAAAATATGATTGTATGGGAGGTTCTTCTGCAACCTCCATACTCACCAGATGTAGCAGGTTTTCATTTCACTGAATCACTGGAACATTTCACCAGTAGCAGAACATTTAGAAACAAAGAAGTTGAAATTTTTTCAGATTTTTTTTAGACATGGAATTAAAAATTTATCTTTCACTGAGTCTGCTATCATTAACAATGGAAATGATTTCATTTTTGGACGAATGATGTTTAAATAATAAATTTAAATTGCATTTGTTTTTGTATCTTTTCTGGTAAGATGTAATTATTTTCTGAACACCCTAATAGTTCAATTAATGCAGGTCATAATGTGGAGATCCATTTACTTTGCTGCAAACAAACACCAAAATATTTGCATAATTTTCTTATAACATGTTTTTTTACAAAGTTTTTGAATGCTTTTTGCAAACTAAGAGAGAGAGAGAGGCAGGTAGCTAAGAGGGAGATACATTGAGAGAGAAAGAGGGAGGGGGATTGTAATCTGAGAGAGGGGTAGGTAAATAAGAGAGAGATACATTAAGAGAGAAAGAGGGATAAAATTGTAATCTGAGAGAGAGAGAGAAGCAGGTAGCTAAGAAGGAGATACATTGAGAGAGAACAAGGAAGGAAATTGTGATCTGAGAGTGAGAGGCAGGTAGCTAAGAGGGAGATACATTGAGAGAGAAAGAGGGAGGGGGATTGTAATCTGAGAGAGGGGCAGGTAAATAAGAGAAATTGAGAGAGAAAGAGGAAGGGGATTGTAATCTGAGAGAGAGGCAGCTAGCTAAGAGGGAGAGACAGGGAGGGGATTATAATCTGAGAGAGAGAGAGAGAGAGGCAGGTAAATAAGAGAGAGATACATTGAGAGAGAAAGAGGGAGGGAATTGTAGCCTGAGAGAAGTAGCTAAATAAGAGAGAGAAAACATTAAGAGAGAATTTTATACTGAGAGTTAGAGAAATAAGAAAGAGAGTTATACTGAAAGAAAAAGAGAAGGAATTGTAAACTGAAAGAGAGGCAGGTAAATAAGAGGGAGATATGTTGAGAGAGAGATAGGGAAGATTTTCGACTAAGAAAGACAGGTAAATAAGAGAGAGGCAGGTAAATAAGAGAGAGTTACATTGAAAGAAAGTGAAATAATTCTAAACAGAGAGAGGGGCAGGTAAGAGAGAGATTGAGAGGGAAAGGTAATCAGATAGTTACACTGAAAGAGAAAAGGGATTTTAAACTAAGAGAGAGGTAAATAAAAGTGAGTTACACTGATAAAGATAAAGTAAATAAGAGAGTTACACAGAAAAAGGGAATTGTAAACTAAGAGAGGTAGGTAAATAAGAGAGAGTTGCATTGAGAGAGAGAGAGAGAGAGAGAGAGAGAGAGAGAAGTGAGGCTGGTAACCAAGGGTTACATTGGGAGAGAAAGTAAAGGAGTTGTAAACTGAGAGAGGGGCAGATAGAGTTACATTGAGAAAAAACATAGACATTAGAAAAGATAATTTAAATAGCACACTGAGAATATGAGAAGATTTCGAAGGGAAACTGATAGTTACTGTGGGACTGGTTGCAATATAAAACCATGGATGTCTCTCTCAAGTGTAATGCAGACATGAAATATAAAAGTCTTTTACAGTGAAAAAGTGATGTATTCATTAAGTGATTGACAGATACATGAGCAACTATGTTTGCCATGAACTCCTCATTGAAATATTTTATTGTACTATGTAAGAAAGATTTGTCTGTTTATCTTGAATTCTCTTCTGCTAATGTTGGCAAGCTTCCGCACATCAGACTTTCATTTATTTGAGATTAAAAGCAGACAAAAGATCTCTTGTAAAATAGCATCGAAAGCTGAAATTCTTAATGAGCAGTTTTAAAGGAAGATATGAGCCAAGCGGTTGAGAAGGAGAATGAAAGACAGAAAAGGTGGTAGGAGGAGACGTAGGAAAAAAAAAGAAGTGGGAGGAGAATGGGGAAAAAAATCTGCATGAAATAAAAAGTAGAAGGAGACGAGTAAAGCCAGTAGGATGTGTTGAGGAAAGGAAGATGAGTAGGAGGAATCAAAGAGATAGTAGTAAATAAGGAAGTAGTAGTGAAAGGAAGAGGAGTAACCAAATAGGAGAAAAAAGGAAGTAGGAGGAAATGAGATAAAGAAAGAGGGATAGAAAATAAGAGGAATTGGGTGGAAAGTAAGAGAAGCAGAAAAGAAAGGGAGTAGTAGTGAAAGGGAGAGGAGTAACCAAATAGGAGAAGAAAGGAAGTAGGAGGAAATGAGATAAAGGAAGAGGGATAGAAAATAAGAGGGATTGGGTGGAAAGTAAGAGAAGCAGAAAAGAAAGGAAGTATTGAAGGAAAGAAGGAGAATGAGAGAAAGTGAGTGAAAGTAACACTGAGATCCGAAGGTGTATTGAAGTAGCCAAAGATGCCTTCCAAAAGCTAAGCAGAGTATTAAGAAATAGAAAAACTTCATTAGAAACAAGGAAAAGAGTACTAAACTATTACTTGATAGCTGTCCTCCTCTATGGCAGTAAGTGCTGGACAATCTCCTTAAAGATGAAGAAGAGACTTGAAGCAACAGAAATGTGGTTCTACAGAAAGATGCTGAGGATACCATGGTTGGAACATGTGAGAAACAACAAAGTTTTAGAAAAAATGGAAATTTTCATTTCTCACTGTGGCTATATTTCATATTCTGTCCCTTTGTTGAGCGTACATCAGGATTTTTATAGTACACTGATGTAGATGGGAATTGAAACATTTTGTGGAGTGAAGCCATCCAATTCGTGTATATCTTAAAAATGTAATCTTGTCAAAATATAATTTAATCTAATTAATTTTTAAAAATTCTATAATTACCGTTCTGAAGATTAAGAAAAGTAAAACTGGCTTTTTAAATTTTCAGGAATTAGAGGCATTGTCAAGATTATTGTTATGCGATATCTGTCCTCCTGTATGGCAGTATGTCCTTCACAAGTGTTTGATTGTTCTTAATAAAGGAATTCCATTGATAAAACCTTCTTGTGTGGTCATTACTCAGTGTTAAATTGTTTCAATGTTTTAGATATTCAGTAAATTTCCTATGGCTGTAATAACTTTCAAATAGTATGGCATTATTCACAAATCTAATAATCAAACAAAAACAGGGATGAAATATCAGAGCTTGATGCAACTGCAAGTGCAAATGTATGAATGCCCCCCCTCCTTCTTCACATGTTTACTGTAAAGCTGGTGTTAAGAGGTTCTTTAAGAATTTTTCCCTTTTAACTCTTCAATAATTCTTCTCAAATAATCTTTGCATCAAAGTTTGTTTGAATACTAATTTATGATGGAATCATATGAAGAAACTACTGGCTAAATAGCAAAAGCTGATTTTTGATCTAGTTTGTCACAGATTTTGTCCACTTAACTGAAATAATCTAAACCAAACATTCACGCAAGACAACTTGTGTGTTGTATGTAATTTACATGGCAAATTTGGAAAGCATTAGATAAAAAACCAGGGAGTTATGGCTGAAAAATAGGATTTTTGAACAGTTTTTCATGGTTTTTTAATTTTTTTACTGTATGTGGGGAAGCAAGCAGGACTAAAACCACAATTATTTCTTGCATGATGGCAATTTTTTACAACATGTTTGAAGAAAATCAGATAAAAAATGAAGAAGTTATTCAAGTTTTTATTTTAAGTAGTCTGAAAAACCACATTTTTTCACAGATTTTTGCAATTTTTTGTGATAAGCCAATGTCACAGGAAAACTATCAAGCACTCTATATAAACCTTTGTAACATGAGCTATGTTTTGCATTAAGTGCAAAGAACATCAGCACATCCAATAAAAATTTTGTTCGCATCTAACTTTGCCTTGGTTTTTGCAAAAAGTCATACCTACCTTCAGTTTTATCAATTTTCCTACCAAACCCAGGGAGCCGGGAGATTGAAAAGTTGGTCTTGACCTACCTTGGTAAATTTGCAACGTGTGTACAATTTCATCAAAATCAGTCGAGAAATGTGGACATGCATAAATAGCATGCACACACATGGACAGACAGATATCTTCTGTTTTATAGATGTAGATTCATTTTTTTAGTATGTTTATCTGTAAGACGTTTTTTTATTTAAAGAACTTAATATTAAATTATGAAAGTGTTACGGAACTTACCCATAATAACATAATGGATTATTCCATACGTAATAAATACTGTGCCTCAAGAGGAAGCAGAAAGTTCAGTCTGAAGTCTGGAGTGAAGTCCGTCAGAGGTTTGTCAGTCAGTCAGAACGAGCGAGTCAGTCAGTCAAGTCAGAGGCAGACCAAAACAGAGTCGCATTCAGACAATTACTACTAAACCTGATTGTTCGTACTAACACTTTCTACCTCTCTATATATATTCCTGTTTGTAATATATCTGTGGTATTCCTTATTGGTGTTTGAGTTCTTCTTTATTGGTTCTACCTTCGACTATCACCGTGGTACAAGGAACCAGACCATAACAGAAAGAAACATCAGAGAAGAGGGTTAAGCATGTGAAAGACCAGAAAAAAAAAAAGGGACGTTATTTATTTATTTATGAAAGAGGAATTTCTGCCTTTTGATTGGCAGCTGAAATTGGCATAAGAATCATAATTCCTTATTTTTTCTTTTTAACATAAAATTTCTGGGAGCTGTTCCCCTTCTGGATTAAGGATATGATGATAAAAAATGGCTGACATCTTCCATAATTCAGGTGCATCGCTTAGGATAAAAAAAAGGAAAAATTGCAGCATAGCAGCTGTAACATACTGTTTATTTTTAAAAAAAAAGCCAATTTGGCACATTCTGAGTGAGCTTGTGTAAATGGATGACAGAACAGGGTTTAGGAGAGATAACAAAAAGACAAAATTTATTAAGAGCTGCAAAGGACAGGAAATTGTGGAGAGCCATGATCACCAACGTCCTGAAGGGACATGGTACATAGAAGAAGAATGAGCTTGAGTAAATGGATAGCGGAACTAGGTTTAGGAGAGATAACAAAAAGACAAAATTTATTAAGAGTTACAAAGGATGGGAAATTGTGGAGAGCCATGATCTCCAACGTCCTGAAGGGACATGGTACATAGAAGAAGAATGAGCTTGAGTAAATGGATAGCAGAACTAAGTTTAGGAGAGATAACAAAAAGACAAAAATTTATTAAGAGTTACAAAGGATGGGAAATTGTGGATAGGAAGCAACGTCCTGAAGGGACACGGTAATAGAAGAAGAAACTTGAGTAAATGGATCCTGAAATAACAAAAAGGGACAAAATTTACATAGAAGGAAGAATGAGCTTGAAGGGACATAAATGGATAAGCTTGGAACTAAGAACTAAGTTTAGGAGAAATAACAAAAAAGACAAAATTTATTAAGAGTTACAAAGGATGGGAAATTGTGGAGAGCCATGAATGGCAACGTCTTGAACAGACACAGCACATAGAAGAAGAAGAATGAGGCTGTTTAAAATGAATGGAAGAACAGGATTTAAGAGAGATAGCGAAAAGACAAAATTTATTAAGAGCTGCAAAGGACAAGAAACTGTGGAGAGCCATGATTGGCAATGTCCTGAAGAAAAACTGCACATAGAAGAAGAAGAAGAAGAAGAAGAAGAAGAAGAAGAAGAAGAAGAAGAAGAAGAAGAAGTGTGCAAATAAGAGGTAGAAGAGATTAGGAGGAATTCTGAGAAAGGAAGTAGGAGTTTGGAGAAGAAAATTTTGGTAAATTTTAACATATCTAATGGCAAAAAAACAGATGTGTCAAGAAAATGACTTTTCTCTTGACACAGCTATTATGTTATGCACTGACAATTTTTATTGTTTTAAAAAGCTATTTTTTAAAAATATTTTAATAAAAACCCAAACATATGAAACTGAATTTATGCATTCATTTAACATTTGTTTAATATTTTTATTGTCAGTTCTCAAAGAAAAAAAATAGGAAAAATCCAAATGCTCACAATATATTTTAGTGAATTTGTAGTGAATCATAAACATGAAACAGGAGGTAATTTGATGTGGTGTAATGTTTAGCAAGCTTGTCTTGCTATAACAATTCCAAATGAGTAGTGAGTTTGATCCTCACTGGGTTCCCCATACTTTTGACGTGTGCCACATCTAAGCTACACTTAAAATATCATCATAAATAAGAAGCAGGAGTTGCATCCCCTGCTTTTCTTGGGTTATAGTAAATAGAAGAGAAGTAAAATTCCCATAATGCACTAGAAAGACAGTTTTGGCACAAAAATACAAATACAGTTGAAATATCCAAGGTTTTTCCAAGCGAGTACCACAATTTTTATATATATATATATATATATATATATATATAAATGCTATATATATATATATATATATATATATATATATATATATATATATATAAATGGTACTACTGCTTGGAAAAACCTTGGATATTTCGACTTTTGTAGTAAACAAACTGGTACCCAAGGAAAAATAAGGAATAAAAAAAAAAAGAACCAAGAACATGAAACTAAGGCAAAAACAATCGTCCAAAGTTCAAACACAAAGTTAAAAAAAAAAAAAAACTCTAAAACGAGTAAAGGCAACTACATAAAGTGCTCAATACACGAAGCAGAGCAAACCTAAGAAAAAACCTAATGAGCCAGGCAAACCTACCTAGGTTTCACCAAAACAGATCGTCCGGGCAATGCCAGCAAATGTTAATGCCAGCATTGCCCTGACGATCTGTTTAGGTGAAAACCTAGGTAGGTTACCAACACATTAGGTTTATCTGATATATATATATATATATATATATATATATATATATATATATATATATTTCAAAATATATCAAACATATACCCTCATCGATAGAATGTAGGATTAGCAACAACTCATCTGACAAGGATGTGTTTAATAAATATAGTGGTGTTTATAAAACTGCTTTAAAATAGTATACTGAAATCAAGTATAGAAAACATGATCTAAGGAAAAGAAATAGGAATAGGAAAATCATTTGGTACAAACCCGCATTTAACCAATTAGTCAGTATGAAGTTAGTCTAGAAGTTCCTCCATTTAATTGATAAACATTTCCCTAAAAGTAATCCTCTTAGTAAAATATTTAACAGAAACACACTAAGTTATAACTGCACCAATAATCTTGAGAAAATTATAATGAAACACAATAATAAAATTTTAGACCAATTTAAGAATTTTGATAACAATGCACATTCCAAGATAAATACTGTAGTTGCAAAAATTCTAATGATTGCCCATTACGAAACAAATGTTTTACCAACTCTTTTGTTTATCAAAGTACTATTTCTACAATAGAGAATCCAACTGTTGAAAAATTTTATATTGGTAGTATTAAGAATTCTTTTAAGATTAGGTGGTACCAACATATCTTATCCTTCATCA